GTCATCAGCTTTTTGTGTGATGCAAACTTTACAAGAAGTCAAGAAAAGAAGTTGCCCTAGATTATGTACAAAGCAGCAGCATTGGTATTTATAACATCAAAGTCCCTTTTATCTTTTATTAATCTGTATTTATTTTATTCTTAGTCCAGCAAACATTTTTGTATCATGTGCTACAGCAGACTGTGTGGAATCAAAGTGGGCAGTTAATTTAAATTTACACTTCTGAAAAGCGTGAACAATGGTGACCATAGGAGCAAAAAGAGCCGGGGTGTCGCGGTGCTGATGCCTGCCAGCCGGCGCAATTACAGGCAGAGGGCTCAGGAACCTCTGCTGCGAGATTTCTCCAGTCACATCATCCATAGCCCATGCTTCTGTCACGCCAGCCCAGGAGCTCAACTTGCTCACAGTCTGCAAAGCACTGGAAGTTCCTGCCTGCCCCTTGGTCCGGGTGTCACACAGACTGAGGTGCCTCTCTGAAGTTATTTTTTGTTGCTGCCATCATTCAGTCTGTGCCATCCATAGGTAAAGAAGGAACTCGCAGGAAAGGCGTGATGGCGATTCATGGGGTTCCCTGTCCCGACTGTGATGAGATCCAGCAGGTCACTGCCATCGCCAACAACCAAAATTGTATTGAGCACAAAAGGAAAAGGAGGAAAGCTTTCCACATTTACTGCCTGTGTTTGTCAGAGCAGTAGTGCGTTGGCCCGACCATCACTGCTGGGAGAGCATCTCCCTGGCTGGCAGGAGAGCTGGGGAGCGCGGGGGGGACTGGCTCAGCCAGCACAGGTGCCTTTGTCCAGCAGACTGCAGTAATGAGAGGACATCCTGGTCTTCGAGGGACAGAGGCTTCTCTTCCCTGCGGCGTGGAATTTCCAGCCACTCTTACTCACAGGCAACCTTCCATTTGAGGATGTCCCCGTGCACGGTTACAGAAGCCGCTGGGATAAATCTGTGACGGCCCACGGGCAGCCCGGAGAGCAGCCGTCACCTGGGCACAAGTGCAGAGGACACCACACCAATGCGCTCCCCCTTCTCTGCTAGTGGCACTGCAGTGACGAATGACCCCAAGGATGTGTAAATGTGATCATCTTCTCATGAGCATACATTAGGATTCTGCTCTCCAGTGAGCTCATTTATTTCTTTGTTTAGATCAAAAGTGATAAGAAACGCCTGCCTAAGGCTGGCAGCATCCTAGAATATTCATTATTCATAGGGTGCAGAGAAATACCTTGCTCACGGACAGCGCTGGAGTCCCTCAGAGCTCAGACTGCCGACTGCAGCGCCTGAAATACGAGTCCATCCTCCCCCTGGAAGCACATCTCCCTGCTCCCCACACAGCCCAGACTCATCGGAGTGAAAATCATGAGCAAAAAGGAGGATAGGGAATAAATTTGGCTTTCGTCAGACATTTTGAGGAATGTAATTGAAGACAGGGTGTGGCTGTGAGAGCCAGCAGAAATTAATATAGTGTCTGGATTGCTTGGAGCTTTGCTTCTGCTGCGTTGGTTTTCAGAAGTTGCCCAGCAGAAGAGAGCAGCGCTCTGGGCTTGGGTCGCCTTTTTTCCCTTTCAGAGTCTCAGTTTAGCAGGCACATTGCAGATATGGAGCACTGCAGCTGGCTCGTGTCCTCAGCCACCAATGGCAGAAGCAGGAGGTCTTACAGCACACAGCAGACTGGTTGGTGTCACTGCTGGGCGCTTTTTATGCATCCTGGCTCAGAGCCCCACGGGCTGCAGAGTCATATTCACCAGCCAAGATTGGATCCATCTTTCTGCAGGACTCGTACCGGGCTGTAGCTGCACTGCTGTGAGATGGTGCCAAGGTCTGTAAGGGCAGTGGGACTGTGGTGATCCCAGCACACAGCCATGCATGCCGTGCCACCGTCTCTTCCACGTTTTGCTCGCTTTGCTTATCAAACTGATAGCGCTCCTCGTGTCAACAAGGAGACACAGACAGAACTTTGCTTTCATAAGCATTGCTTCAGTGATGTTTGTGCAACCTCTCTGGAATACGATGTTATCTTGTCACTTGTAATTACGAGTAATGATTTGCATAATAGCCATTGGGGATCACTTATTAAAACCTGCTTTGAAGTGATACTAAGCCGGCTCCAGACCTCGCACTCCCAGCTTTCAGATGCAGACTGTGATGTTGTGGGGCTGTGAGTCAGAGCTGCATCCCCCGCGCTGATCGGCGGTGCTGGGAGGCAGCTGGAAGCGCTGTGGGCTGCGGTGCGGCGCTCTGAGAGAGCTGGGAAAGGCAGTCAGTCCTTTCCTGCAGACTGCTCACATCTCCAATTCAGCTCTGGGCTCGTGGCAGCAGTGAGGCTCAGCATGATGCCGAGGTGTTCGGCTGGATTTCCTCCTGCTGCAGCTCCCAGCCTGATCCACACCTCCAGGGCTTTCAGTTCCCTGCTGGCCTTGAGCGCAGTGCACTGCACAGCCTCTGCACCACTGGGAGCACAGCCGCTCTTTGGGGCAAAGCAGAGCGCGAGGGAATTCGTGTTGGGCCGGATGGGGACTGATGGCAGCAGGAAGCTGCAGAGATCTCCAGCTGTGACCTGCGGTGCTGCTGCCAGAGCCTGGCAGGTCCTGACAGAGCCCAGACTCCATAAGCAGCCCAAGGGTGGGCTAGCTGTGGCCCTGAGAGCTCTCTGTGTGCCTTTATTTAATACTTGCTAAGACATTGCTACTTGCAATGCGTCTCCGGCGTGTGGGTCTTGCAGGCAGTGTAAATGAAGTTTTTTGGTGCAGCAGGCCAAGAAATCTCCTGCTCGTTACAATAGTACGTTACTGATGTACATAACTCTTTACAAATGTTACACAACCCAATAAACTCAAGTACAAGTTCCATAGACAGTGACAGGGCTGTGGGTGAGGCTCACCTGTCTGTGTGCTTCATGGAACAGACTTTTATGGGGAAATTAGAGCCTGTGCCATGCAGCAACTCACGGCCCACGATTCCAACGCCTGCAATCAGTGTCAGTGTGTGTGCAGTGCAGCCCTGCGCTCCCGGCTGCTCCCAGCGCTCACTCTGCAGATCTGATTGTCTGGTTTCTTCTCACCGACGTCTCACGGCTGTGCAGATCACTTCTCAGGGATCTGTTGTCGCACTTTGCTGGTGCAGCTCATCCCCTGACCCCCCCCATTCCTGCTGGTGGGGAGGGGGCCACAGCACAGCAGTGGGCACAGCAGCATAACAGCGCGGTTCCTCCGGCTGTTGCCTTTCCTTTCTCTGTGCAACAGACCACCACCACTTTTTTTCTGTCTGTTTACTGCATCTGACTTCCAAAACCTCTTTCTCCCACATATTAATTTGTCTCGCCCTTTTATCTGCCTGCACGCTGCCAGCAGGTTCTTCCTGCTTGCTTTTTCTTTTTAGATGCTTTCATAGTTCCTTATTTAGCATTTTCTCTTGGAATCGCTTCCCCTGGCAGAAGGGCGGGTCAGGTCCAGCACTGCTTTGCTTTCAAATTACTACTTCAGTATTATTTGGGAAAACTTGTTGTTCTTGATTTTATCCTGTTGCTACACATTCATAATACCTCAAAAGGTGCTGCAAATTGTCTTATATTAGATTATATTAACACACGCCCTCTTTAATGAAAGCTTGACTTTCGCTCGAAAGTCCCTTCCAGCAGAAGGCTGCCCGTCCGGCCGCCCTGCGCTCCCTGCAGCCCAAATCGCTCCTCCTCGTCGCCTCCAACCTCCGCTCCCAGCGTGAGCTCTCCCCAGTGCAGACATCCCTGCCGCAGCATAACGATCTGTGTAACGTGTTTCTAAATACCCGTGTAATTCCTTATTTGTAGAAGTTGTTTCTCAGGTTCGGGGCTGTGTCAGTAGTGGCACAGTTTTATTAGGGGCAAGCGTGTGGATCCCGGCACGTCCCAGGTAAGGGCAGCGGGCAGCGCAGTGCTGGGTCCCCTCCGCTTGGTTCCATGCGTACCCCCATCCCACCGGTGCTGCGCGTGGAGCTGAGCACTGCCTGTTAGTTTGCTTTACTTTTCCTGGGGGTTGTTCTTTGGGAGCCCTCCAAGGGCCGTATCCTGTCTGCACTGTGCTGCTCAGGGACAGCATGGCTTTGTCTGGAGTTTTCTTTGCGCACCCCCCTGTCCTTCTCATACCCCCACTTCCTCTTGTACCGCATTTCTCCTCCCTCTTTCCCCAAGCTTGCTTGTCCCAGGTGAATGGCTTGGGAAGGCCTTGACTCCCCCTGCAGCTCTTCAGTCCACTTTGGAGAACACCCTGACTGTGGGACCATAGAGTCATTCAGGTTAGAAAAGACCTCTAATATCACCAAATCCAGCTACCAACCCATCCCCACGGTGCCCAACCATGTCCCCAAGTGCCACATCTACACATCTCCTGAGCACCTCCAGGGACAGTGACTCCATCACTTGTAACAGTGCTGTTCACACACTGCAGCAGCTGAGCTTTGGGAATGAGAGCTGACGCTTCGTGTAGCTCACATGGGACTGGAGAGCCCTCTTTGGGATACCCCCATTAAAACACCTCCACCTGCGGGGCACTGGAGGCTCAGACAGCGCCTCTCTGTTTCAAAATCTCAGTGCATGGAAAGGAGGGAAGAGCCAGCTGCTTTGCATACAAATTAAATTTCCCCAAACCATAATTAAAATTGTCGTGTGAAACTGAAAACGTTCAGATAATTTATTGTTTCAGGGAATTTAACTGCCCGTCCCTAATCCTGTCTATCAGTGCAGAGCCAGCAGGACTCAGCTAAATGACAGCTGTCACGAAGCACCTTCCCCAGCTCAGCAGGAGCCGCCCCGCAGCGCAGGGCAGGGCTGGCGCAGGCTGACCCCCTTCCCAGGGAGAGAAGGAGCTCACGGTCGGACGTTGGTCAGAGCCAAACGCTCAGCTCCTCACGGTTGGCTTCCCAGCCCTGGCTGGAAGCAGGGCTCTGCTGGTTCCTCACCACTGTGTTCTTTTACCGCTTGTATCTCAGGTTTTCATATCCCTGTGAGTGACGGCCCAGGGATGTCACTGTGCCCGGCTCTGCCTGCAGCCTGCATACATGATGTCCTGCTGCCCGCCCTCCAGCAGGCAGCGGTAGGTGTGGATCTCCTGCTCCAGGCGGCACTTGACGTCCAGCAGGCTCTTGTACTCCTGGTTCTGGCACTCCATCTCCGCCCGGATCTCTGCCAGCCGCTGCTCCACGCAGGAGATCTGGCTCTGCAGCTCAGTGAGGTATTTGTTGTAGCGGCATTCTGTCTCAGCCAGAGAGGACTCCAGGTTTTCTTTCTGAGTGTGGAAGCAACAAAAAGGAGGATGGATTACATCGCTGTCACAGGCAGCCTGGACTTCTTATCAAGGGATCCCACTGCAGAGCTGTCCCAGTGTAGCCATCCACGTGGTTCTGCTCCTGCAGCTCTCTGCAGGGAGCTGGTGGCTGAAACAGAACTGTGCGTCACTCACCATGGTCAGTTGGGCTTGCACGTTGATCTCCAGGCCCTGCAGCTGGCGTCTCAGCTCCGTGACCTGTTTGTTGCTCGACTCTATCTCCTGGCTGCTGGTGATGACCTCCAGGTTCACCTCTTCCACCTGAGGTCAGAAGGAGCGCTGTGTCCCCTGCCCACCCCACCCCACAGCCCCAGACGTCCGCTTGTGCTGCAGCCCCCACGTGTTCCCAGCCCAGGCCCCACATGCCCCATGACCCCGCAGCTCTGCAGCTCCTCAGCCACCAGCAGAAGAGTGCTGCAATGGGGCTGTGGAACCGGACTGAGTTTCTCCTCGCTGGAACTGCTGTTGTCCAGACACTGCCAGGAAGTGGAGAAGCACTGATCTCTCACTTCTCCCTCAGCAGGCAGAGGGCAGAGCCGCACACCGCACCGTACCTTGCAGGCAAACCACTGCTCCGTCTCCTTGCGGTTGCGCTCCATCAACGTCTCATACTGACAGCGCAGCTCCTCCAGGATCTTCCTCAGGTCTGGGCCGGGACAGGCGTTGACTTCCACGCTCACATCTCCGGTCGCTTGCTTCCTCAGGCAGCTCATTTCCTGCAGACAGCACACACCGGGATGGTCATGTTCCCACCTGGGGGAAGTGCCCTTCTTCCCACAGATTTCTTTAGGGTGAGGGGTGTCTGACCTCCTCATGGTTCGCCCTGAGGCAGCACATCTCCTCGGTCACGGCCTCACACTGCAGCTGCAGGTCAGCCTTGCAGCTGGCCAGCTGGTCCAGCACAGGGCGCAGATTGCAGATGTCCGCGTCCACATTCTGCCGGAGGCTGCACTCAGTCTCATACCTTAGGCACAGGAACAGGAACTCAACATGCCAGCAAAGCACTGCAAGTGCTTGAACTGAGTGTGAGGGACGAAATTAGGACCAAATTCTCTTGTTTCAGGCACGTGATGCTGCGGGCATTGCCTTGCACAGAGGTCTGTGCTTTAATACAGCAGCAGGGCTGGCAGGTTTCAGCCCCACACCACCTCAGTGCCCACACCTTCCTTCCCTTACCCCCCACCCAGCCCAGGGCTCACTTGGCTCGGAAATCATCAGCCGTCATCCGACTGTTGTCGATGTTCAGAAGGATTTTGTTGGTCTCCATGGCTGCACACAGGATCTAGAAAGAAAGCACAGGGAGAGATTTGGGCTGACAGGTTCTGCCAGCTGCAGGAGGCCTGCAGGAGTTGTCAACCCGGAGCACTGCAACATGGTTATTTTCTAATGGTTTCATGTTTGGGGGTTATTAGTCAGTTAAATGCGCTACAGCAGGGAGCCTGCATGGCGGGCTGCAGGAGCATCAGCTGTCTGTGAGCGCAGCTGCTGCATTCTGATCGCTGAATGTCAGCTGCTACCTCCTGCTGCTGCAGGCTGCCGCCAGGCATCGATCTGTCCACATGTGAAAGCGAGGCCCAAAGAAGTGTGGGACATTTCTTGAGATGCTTTACCTGGTTCTGAAGGTCTTCAATCTCCTTGTGGAAGCAGCTGTAGTCCCGCGGCTCACAGCTGGGGCCCACCTTGGCGTACCACTCCCGGATGCGGCACTCCAGCTCGGCATTCTCGCTCTCCAGCAGCCGCACTTTGTCCAGGTAGGAGGCCAGGCGGTCATTGAGGTTCTGCATCGTCGCCTTCTCATTGTTGGCAAACAGGATCCCCTCACCGGCCCTGCCGAAACCTCCGACGCCGCGCGCACACATGCCCCCCGTGCTGAACCCGAGGGTGGAACAGGCCCGCTGGGTGGCTCCGAAGCTGCCCCCGCTCATGCTGCCGACACCCAGCTGCTGCCCAAGCAGTCCCTCGCCCAAACTGCCACCAGAGAAACCCCCGGCTGCTGCCGCGAGCTCGAAGGCTGCGTGCCGTCCTGGGGAGGCAGAGGAGCCCTGCATGGTGCCCGCCCGGCTGCCCGCGCTGCCCCAGGTGCCGCACTGCCGGGCGCAGCTCATGGTGCAGCCGCGCGAGCTGCGCGGGCGGTGCAGGAGCTGCTGCCGGCCTCTGGCCCCACTGCTCCCTATTTATACCGCCCCGTGGATGTTGCCGCTGGAGAAGCGCTGTTTGTTCTTCCTCCTCCCGACCTGGTAGTTCTGTGCCTGGAATATTTCCCTATGGGCGTTTGTCTCCAGCGATCCCACAACAGAAAGATGCTTTGGTTAATAGAAGCGTGTTTAAAAACTACATCAAAAATGTGACTTCCTGAATCATCAGGTCTGACTTGTGATGACAACCAAACAACAGTGACACAAACAGCGACGATAACTGAGAGTGCCTGGGGAGCGAAACAGCAATTACCCATGGGGGGGCGAGTCCTGCTGGAGGGGATTGCTGTGGCCTGGTGCCACCACCCGGCAGAGCCTGCTCGATCCCCTCGGGGTGCAGCTGCCCCAGAGGATGGGGGGGGACCCCCTGGGCGGCAGCAGTGGAGTGAGGTCCCGCCAGGGCCCCTGGCATTTCACCGTGGAAATGGAGTGCACAGAATATATAGAGCTTGAGAGGTGATGGCTTGCTGTTTTCCTTCCTCCAGCATGCACCATGACATCCCCTTCCAGAGGAGGGACACAGGGTATGTGTTCTGCTGCTTTAGAAGGCAGACAAAACATGCAGATATTTTCCTAAAGTAAAAGAGATAAGGATATTTCCTTTTCTTCCTTAGCTATGGCTATTCGCTGCCAGGAGAGGACAGCCACAGGAGATGGTGCACTGCATTTCTACAATAGAAGCGTGGAGAATTTTGGGAGCAGTCTGACGCCAATCCTGGCAGCACCACGGAGCTCCTCCAAGCACAGTCTGGGGGAAGCGTGTCAAAGAGACTACAAAAGAAAAAGGATATTCAACATATTTTCAGTCTAGGGATGCTGAATTGAGGGACAGGAGAGATAATTACAATGCTTTGTCATCCGGATTTCTCATTTTGTTAATAATATTAGTGCAGCCAAGTGGTGTCTGTCACATAGCTGCTCTTCAGCATCGTCTCTGGAGTCCAGCTCACCCAGACCTGTCACCCGAAGGACGCGCCCGCCGGCTTTGGGGCATTGCCGTGCCATTCAGCCAGGTTCATTAGCCTTGGCTTTATCCTGGCACTGCAAATCCAGAAAACCTTACATGTGGTGTGGGTTGTGTGCGTCCATTTTGAACTTCAGACGTAGCTGTAGGTCTCTGTAGCTAATGATGAATACTACAGCTTCTGTGGAGAGGTATTTCACTCGTGATTGCAGGGGATGTCAGCGCAATTTGTGTGTTCTTCACAGCGGTGTTTTTCCTTTCCATAATGGGAAGCTTTGACGTGCATCTACACCAGGCCACACCTCAAGGCATGCCAGCAGCTGCCATCTTTATTTTACTAAAAGAGATTTTCATTTTTGATGAAGCAGTCTGATAACGATGCTCTCCATGTGTGTGCTGGAAGTGCTCCCCAGCTGGTTGCAGTGATCTGCAGTGGGAACCTCACCATCCCTGGGCAGCAGCGTGTGCCCAGCACATGGAGTGTGTGTGTGTGTGTGTGTACATGTGTGTGTGTGTGTGTGTGTATACATGTGTGTGTGTGTGTGTACATGTGTGTGTGTGTGTGTGTATACATGTGTGTGTGTGTATACATGTGTGTGTGTGTGTGTGTGTGCACCTCCACTGGCACTCTGCAGCCCGCCGTGCAGGACCGATGAGGAAACATTACTGCTTCAAGAAGAAATGAGGATGGAAAGGCCTCCCCTGGGTAAGGGCTCTGCTCCCACTTAATTTTGTTAAAAAATTAGAAAGAAAGGAATTGTGCTTTGGCTTCCCGTGGCGTCCCAGTGCCCCACGTTCCAAAGGGGGCAGGCACCCGCCGTCACTCCCAAGGGCTGTTTTGCCCCAAGGAACAACCAGGCTCAAATGAGTGAGGAAAATGAGAAGGCAGGACTGGATCTCCCCTGGGAGGAGCCCTCTGTGATCTCGGAGTGCTTTAAGACAGTTTCACCCATGCAGAATCCTTGTGCTGCTGCTTACAGGTGCTCTCTTATCTAAATGTTGACTCAGCTGTCTGTGAAGCTGCCCAGGAGGAGCTGCTGCCCGAGCCCTGCAGCTCACAGGGACATCAGGGCTGCAGTGCTCTGAGCACAGCACTGTGAGTCACTGCGGGCACTCCTGCAGTTCTCTGGGTTTCAGTTTGATGCTCCGTGGGATGGAACAGCAATGGCAGTTATTGCAGTAGCAGCTCTCCTTCCCAAGGGTGAAACATGCACTGCAAACACAGAGCCTGCGTGCTGGGGCACAGTGCTGGGGCAGAGGCCAGTCGCTGTGTGAGCTTCTGTCATTTGCACTCAGTCTGACGCCGGCACGTCCTTCCTGTCTCTCGGTGTCTCTCCTCATGGAATATCTTTCAATTCCTGTTTCCATTTTTTGTTTCGCTGTCCATCCAAGTTTTGCCATTGCTTGCTGAGGACTTACATCTGAATTCCTCGCTGAATTCAGTCGCTGCTTTTCCTGCTCTGGCGTCCTGCAGGAAATGTGGAACACTCCTGAGCAGCGTGTCTGTCTCGTGGATGTGGCAATCCGTGCGCATTTCGCAGATGTGAACTGTAGGTGGTATTTTCCTTCTGTGAGATGGCTGTAATATAGCACAGCAGTTATGTGTGCTGAGCACAGGCTTTCATCTTTGTGATCACAGGGTTTGCAGAGCCCTATGCTGAATTTAAACCTTTTTACTAAAGCATATATGCATGGATAAATAGAACCGTGCCTGGTGCAGTCCTCCCAAGGAAACCAAAAGGATTTTCTACAGACCTGGGCTCCCAGCTGCCCCCAGCAACTCCAGGTGCTCAGGCTGGGCCTTGCTGTGGATGGGAGGCTCTGGTGCTGGGGGTCAGTGGCACAGATGGGCTGCCAGGGTGGGCAGCAGGGCTGTCCTGGCTGGCCGCTCCTGTAGCCTTCCACTTACATTCAATCTGCAGTGGCTGTATTTTTGCAGGACTCCTTTCTGTCTTTGGCACACATGGGGCGTTCTGCAGGGAGCTCAAGAGTTCAGTAGCTGCCAACATGCACACCTGAGATAAAATCACTGTCTTCCAATGGCAAAAAACATTTTCAGATAACTCCGGATTTCACCCTGCGCCCTTGTCCGTTGCTGTGAAGGCAACCTGACGCTGAAGTTTGTTTTCCTTTATCTGTATTTTATTTAGAGACAGGCGTAGCTCACGAGGCCGGATGGTTCCCTACTGCTGCAAGGCCTGCAGTTCTGGCAGAGCGCGGCACGGTGAACTCTGCCCTCTGGTTGGTGTTTCACTTCCTATCTTCTGCAATTGCTGAGCGATCGCACTCAGTGATGGCAGCAGGCCCTGCAGCCCGCCCCCCTGAGCCCCCTCCATCCTGTGCCCATCACGATGTGCCCGACCCGGCAGCTCCAGTACTGGCAGGCAGGAGCCCTCCCACCCTGCCTCAGTGCCCTGGTGCTGGGATGCTGCAGGAAGGATTTAGCAGGGATCTGCTGGGTGTCAGAGTGACGGCTGCTCATCCCCTGCAGATTAAGCAGTGGTTATTGTAGAGGTATTAAATGCAGCCATCGGCAACATTAATATACCTGTGTAAAGTCTTGGTGCAATGTGCATAACAGTGTGATTTTAAGGCAGTCAAATGAGGCGGGAGGAACATTTGGATGAGGTTTGCCAGCTGATGCTGTGCTCGTGTCTGTGTGCAGTGCACGTGGCAGCCACGGTCCTGCTGAGCTCTCTGGGTTCCTCCTGCAGGAGGGAGCAGCTCCTCCTGATAGTGAACGTCAGAGAGCACAGGTTTGTGTTTGCTGGCTTCAGTCTGCTCTCATTTGGCACTCTGTCTGAAAACATCATTGCCTTTTTCTCACATCAACATGACCAGGTCACATCTCAGTTCCTGCACCCATCAGCACTGAGTTCCACAAACAAGCTGCCTGGGCTCCTGCTGCTCCAGGCACGCACGTCTCCTCCCATGCTCCCAGCTGTGGATTTCTGGAACTTCCCTGCCATGAGTGCCCAGCCCCTCAGCTTTGAGAGCTCCTGTGTCAGTGACAGACAAGTCTGCAGTTGCGTGAATGGAAAACAAAGCTTTATTAAATGTGTACAGAGTGCACGATGGCAGCTGCACGTGGTTAGGGGACATCGGGCGAGAAGCAGAGGGGCGAAGCCAGCTGTGTGCCTCTGAGCTCCATTGGCAGAGCCTGGGGCTGCTGTGGGTCCCACTAGCGTGTGGTGAGTGCCACCTGCTCACGGGATGAGACCACCTTCCCGTCCTGCACCTCCTCCACGATGGTGCGCACCTGGCGCGAGGATGTAATGGCTGTAGGGAGAGGCAGAGAGGGATGGGAAAGGAAAGAAATTCCTTAAGACCGTCTGGTGCCACATGGGCTGGAGAAAGACATGGGAAAGTCTGTGGGGTATCAGAGCACACAGCCTGGGACAGCCCTGCACTGGCCGGGAAGAGGGAAGTGCCCGGCTGATGGGAAGGCTCAGGAACACAAAGGGGCCACTCCACGACTTCAAGGTGGTTCAGTTCTTTGTCTCTGTGCCGTGTGGGGACATTGGCTGCTCAGCTACAAGGTTTGTCTGCTGTGAAGCACCCCTAGGATAAAGGAATGTGCGGCATCTCCCACCCTTATAGCTTCTCCTTGTGGTTGCTTTTTATGGGGTGCTCCCATGCTATCCTGCCTCTGCCACTGCCTCAATCAGCAACACCCTGGGGGCTGCCCTTCCCTGCATCACTTTGGCAGCTGCTCTGAGAGGAATCTCAAAGCTGTGTGCCATGGGCATGTGGAACAAGATGCATTCTTACCGTCTCTGCCAGAGTGTGAGGACATTGCAGAGGAGTACTGGGAAGAGATACTGCAAGAAGAGGAGAAAACAAAAGGGAAGTTAGGGAGAAACTCTTGTTGTTTCATCAGCACTGTATGCAGACAAGAGAGGAAAGCAGAAAAGTCGTAGGAACTATAATTCTATGATTCTATGATTCTATAACATCTGTTGCACTGGGTGCCCCTGCAGGCTGAGGGACAACCGCTCCTTGCAGCAGGGAGCACTGATACAGAGCACGCCTCCACAGGCAGCAATCGGGAAAGGAACCTTTGGGTAACTGTGGTTGGAATGCAAAGAATGAGGAGGCCTGAAGGCTGCAATCAGGATGACTCCCCAAGCAGCACATTAGGGACCCCCACCAGCCCTTCCCACCGCACCGCCCATGCAAACCCCACGCACTGGGCATCCTCGCCCTCCAGCAGCCGGCGGTACGTGGCGATCTCCTGCTCCAGGCGGCTCTTGACGTCCAGCAGCACCCGGTACTCGTGGTTCTGGCGCTCCATGTCGCAGCGCAGCTCGGCCAGCTGCTCCTCCACGCTGGTGATCAGCGCCTGCAGCTGGGCCAGCTGGGTGCCGTAGCGCGCCTCGGTGTCGGCCAGGGTGCCCTCCAGTGCCGCTTTCTGCGTGCGGAGGAGAGGACGGGCTCAGGGGGGCGGCGGGGAAGGGCCCCATCCCCACGCCGGCAGGCAGCGGCCCCGCATACCGTGCTGAGCTGGGACTGCAGGTCGATCTCCAGGCTCTGGATGGTGCGGCGCAGCTCCGTGATCTCCGTCTTGCCGCTCTGCAGCTGCTCCGTGTTGATGGCCACCTCGCGGTTCAGCTCCTCCGTCTGCAAGAAGCCGAGCCGCACGTCACAGCGCGGCGTGGGCGCAGCCGTGGCCGTGCAGCCGCAGGCGTCGAGCTCACCTTGCTGAAGAACCACTGCTCGGCGTCCCTGCGGTTCTTCTCTGCCAGGCTCTCGTACTGCTCCCGCATCTCGGCCAGGATCTTGGTGAGGTCGATGCCGGGAGCCGCGTCCATCTCCACGCTGATCTCTCCTCCCACCTGTCCGCGCAGCGCGTTCATTTCCTGGGCAAAAGGAAATGCGTGACACACACAGCAGCGACAGCCCTGCTTGGGGACGGCCCCGCGCCCCGTGCCTGACCCCCTCTGCCCGGCTGCACCTTACAGCCCCACTGGGTGCCGGCGCTGCGCTCACCTCCTCATGGTTCTTCTTCAGGTAGGCCAGCTCCTCCTTCAGGTTCTCGATCTGCATCTCCAGGTCGGCCCTGGACAGGGTCAGCTCGTCCAGCACCCTGCGCAGCCCGTTGATGTCGGCCTCCACGCTCATGCGCAGGGCCTGCTCCGTCTCAAACCTGGCGACATGCACACAGTCTCAGTTTGGGTCCAGCTGATAGCAGTCTTTTTCTCTTCCCTGCCCCAGTTTGTGTATGTTTGCCCGCACCTCACATCAGGGATGCATGCACAGCACTTTGCAGTGCAGGACTGTCTGGACCCCGTGGCCACCAGCAGGCAGCAGGAGCTGTGGGGCAGCTCCAGGTGCATACAGCACAGCGTGGAGCATGCTGCCCTGTGCCTTTGTTTCCCTGAGAGCTTTGCACTTACTTGGTCCTGAAGTCATCGGCTGCCAGCCTGGCATTGTCAATCTGCAGGACAATGTTGGCATTCTCAACAGTTGCAGCAAGAATCTAGGCCAAGAAAAAGCAGAAAAGGGAGTGAAAAAGTCATTACACAAAATGTTGCATGCTGCTGGCGGAGATCTTGTGAGAGGACCAGAGCAGCACCCATCTCCTGCCCCTCAGCTTGGCCTTGCACAAGGACTCTGCAGAGAGTGTGATGCTGAGCTGCACGCTGCCTGGCAGCACTTGCCCATGCGGGTTGCAGCGTGCCCATGGCACCGCAGGCACTGCAAAGAGCCCAACTGGGAGGAAAAGGAGCTGAGGAGGAGCAACGGCGCCCAAATGGCTGTCATAATTACACCCAAATATTTGTTCTGGGATTTTGAGAAGGATTGGCCATTTAATGAGCAGTAATTTCTGTAGCCACAAGCTAATAAAATGCTCGCAGTGAGTTGTGATGCTCCAGGGGATATCCAGAAGGAATCCAGGTGCAAATCTGGATGTCTTTGCTTCCCAGCTGCAAAGGGGAAGGAAGGATCTGCCCAAAGAACCTCTGAACCACCACTCCCCATGGCTGGGTTCCCCGTGGTTTTTCCTTGCTCTCGTGTTTGCACCTCCCGAAGAACAAGCATCCCATCAACCATTCCTTTCTTTGTTAACTTCTATCCACAGCCTTGAACCAAGCTAGAAACTGCAGGATCTGGCTTTAACATCACTGCATGTCACCTTCAGCAGCAAGCAGTGCCAAGGCCACCGTGTGCCCCCGACTGCAGAGCGCTCAGCACTTATTTCCAGGCATGGCACTCTGTTTTCCCATTTCAGACCAATAACTTGCCATTTAATCTATTAAAAAGTGACGTTAATGAGGACTTTGATTTTCACCGCACCCACCTTGCTGCGCAGCTCCTCGATGGTCCGGTAGTAGGGGCTGTAGTCGCGCTCGGGGCCGGGCCCCTGCTTCTTGTACCACTCCCTGATCTTCACCTCCAGGTCGGTGTTGGCCTCCTCCAGGGCGCGCACCTTGTCCAGGTAGGCGGCCAGGCGGTCGTTGAGGTTCTGCATCGTCTCCTTCTCGCCGGCCGGGAGGATGCCATCGCCGCCCCCGAAGCCGCCTCCAAAGCCTGCCCCGAAGCCGGCCCCATAGCCGGCCCCATAGCCGGCCCCGAAGCCCCCGCCGAGGCCCCCTCCGACGCTGCCGCAGTAGCCGCCCCCATAGCCGGCGCCGAGCCCCGAGACGATGCGGGAGGAGATGGAGTAGCTGCTGGAGCCGCCGTGGACGCTGGGGGCCCGGTAGCCCGCCGCCCGGCCGCAGGACAGCCTGCTGGAGCCGCCCCCCAGGCTCTTGAGGGAGGTGGAGGAGGAGAACTGCCGGACAGTGGTGCTCATGGTGGGGCAGAGGCCGGGCACGGCGGGCTGGCAGCGCAGGCAGCAGTGCGCGCTTCCCCTGCCCGCAGCCCTTTATAGCCCACGCGGGAGGCGTTGCCGCTGCTTTTTTTTTTTCTGATGCATTCCCGAAGATTTTCATCACTCCCAAAATCTGAGCCAACTTCCAGATTCGTCATTTTTCCTTTGTTCTGTTCACGCTTTTTGTCATATTTCACTCGAAAGCTCTTATCTCACGAAGGGCGTTTTTATGCTTCTTCCGTTTCCAAGTAAATAGTCAGGTGTGATTCAAAGGAGGAGGCTCCTTGCTCAGGGCTACATTTTAATATTCCTTTGTAGCGCTACCTGTGAAATGGATCTATCCAGGCGGTGTTTAAGTGGAGGAATTCAGCAGCTCTTCTGCTGCATCTGCCCCAGCAGCTCAGCCCCTCTGTCCATGCACACAGCGGTGCCATGGGGCAGCAGCCGTGCAGGCGCGCAGCGCAGTGCTGTGTCTGGGGCTGGAGAGCTGGGCAGCCAGCAGAGGTGTAGCTCTCCTCTCTTATCTGCGGGTGGGCTTTTCTCTGGCATTAAAAGGAGTTCATCCTTCGGGGCTTGTTTAATTCTTCACTTCAGAGACCACCCAGGAGGGACGGAATATGGAAAGGCATTGAGGAGGAACCTAGCAAGTGCTCTAAGCAGGAGCCTAGCAAGTGCTCCAGAAGGGCAGGGGATGGCTGTGAGCTGGAGTAACTTAAAAAGCATGAGATTCTCCAGGAGAAACTGCAGAACAGCATCCAGCAGTTGAAGGTCATAGGGAGAAGAGCTACAGGTCCCTGTGTGCTGTAGGGAGCTCACAGCTGGCAGCGGCTTGTGGTGAAGCTGCTCTTTGTGTGAATGCTCCAAGCTGCTGTGACCGGGGAGGACGGAGCCGTGTGGGACTGCAGCTGGCAGCCCAGTGCCAGCAGGGCTCGGTGGGCACGCAGTGCGCTGCCCCAGGGCGGGGGGCTCAGGGCGCTGCTGCCCGGCTGCGCTGCTGCCGCGTGCGTCACAGAGCGGAGCGGCACTGGCGGTGGTGCAGGGTGTGGAGGAGCAGGAATTTCTCATGTGTGTGCACGGTGAGCTGTCTGACTGCTCCCCGACAGGCCCCGACAGCCCCTTCCAACAGCCAAGTGTTCCTTAGATCATCTGCCAATGATGGGGGGAGAGTTTGGAAACAAGCAGCAAAGGTACATTGCTGAGTGGCTCTGGGTGATGCAATTCCTTCTCCTGTGTGAGGAAAGCAGCATGGGGGGGGGGGGGGTGAAGTGTTCCCTTGGACTCCCATTCCTTGGGACTGGACACAGTATGGGGGCAGTGAGGGGCAGCGACGCGGCCCCAAGGAGCACATCCCTCCCCATTGCCATCGGTACTCAGTGACACCAGGAGTTCCTGCAGAGCCTCGTGTTGACCAGCAGAGCCCTCCAGGAGAGCAGCTCCGCCGTGCCCGCTGTGTGCCTGTCCCAGCACAGCTTTCTTTGCATGGAATTGCCTTTCTTTCATCTCTCGTTTAACCGCTGCGAGTGCCATCAGAGCACACACAGCTCAAATATCTGTGATGCTTTGATACTGCCACACGGCAGCAATTAAAATGATGAGCTGCTAATTAAGATGTAAGACAACAAATTAACAATTCTAAAACATTTTTAACATGATCTCCATCACACACAGCCGCAATGACTGTGTGCTGTTTGCATCGCGCTCTCCTTTGAAGGAAAGGCCAACTATTAACAACTCAGATTCCCATGCACACTGGAGCCCATTTCTTACATATGTCTGACCCCAAAATGCCCATTCTGTGGTGTCACAGCAGTTTCATTGCAGAACACTGCTGTTCAGGTGTGCACTTCTGTCCAACTGCAGGAGGAAAGCAGAGGTGAAAGAAGCAGCTCCGACTACAGCAGACCTGGGAGCCAGAACTGCAGGACCAGAGCGCATCTCCCTCATCTGTCCTGGAACCACACGACTTCAGTGGGCTCATAAGAGATCAAATTCCTCTACAGAGCTTCCATAAAAGGTTGCAAAGCTACACCTTCATTTCTGTTTCCCAAGTGGTCTTTTGTATCAGAGGAATTCATCGCTGGAGAAGTCAGAGCGCCTTTTGGAGCCCAAGCGCACAGCCAGGCGTGCCTGGAGCTGCCTCCTGCTGCACAGCTCTGCAGGGTCAGCGCTGCTTATTGCTGCTTGAGGTGGGACAGCCGACATCTGCTTTCCACACCTACCTCACAATTTGCAGTCACGGGTGTAATTAAAATGGGATTTTGTTAGCAAGCCATTGTTTGCTGTTCCTGTAGCTGCAGGGACGTGCCTCGCTTTTCTGGGAGAAAAGTAGAGCGCAGGGATGGATCGACGTGCAGCTCCTCTGGCAGTGCTCTGCCAGGGGGCAGTTGGGATCCTTGTGGGGCGGTGAGTGGGGCTGTGTCTGTGGCACCCCCTGCTGCAGCCGCACCGAACCCAGCCAGTGCAGGGCAGCCCTGCAGGCTGCACAGTGGCATCCCTCAGTGCTTTGGTAAATCAGAGCTGTCTCATCTCCCCATAGATGCTTGTTGAAAGGGGTCTTAAAACTGTGCAGCCGGCTCTGTTCTTACATACACTGAATAGCACATTCCTGAGTCATCTCTGTGATTCTGTGAATTATGAGGTCATGTGGCAGAATGCAGCCAAGAATGTGTCTGAGCTGCTTTCCAGGAACAGACAGGGCTGCGGGCAGCGCCTCGCAGGAGGGCCCTCACCCACCTGCAGGGGCTGTGCCCCTTGGGACTCCGTATTTCCAGAGGAGCATCACCCCCTGCAGCCCAACCCCCCCCTGACATCCCCCCACTGCCCGGGCTGCACTGCACAGGGTGCTCACCAGAGCCCCTTGTCCAGCAGGTGAATAAATGAGAGGCCCGGCCAAGCAGTGAGACGAGACACGGGTGTGCACAAATGCCAAAAGCTTTATTTGATGCCCACACTCAGCACACTGCTTAGAGAAAGGGAATGGGCTGCAGCGGTGCAGCACGAAGCGAAGCTGTGGAGCGCTCAGAGCGCAGCCTGTGTGACCTGCTCACGGGAGGAGATCACCTTCCCGTCCTGCACCTCCTCGAAGATGGTGCGGATCTGGCGTGTGGTCACGGGCCCTGCGAGGGGAGAAGGAACTGTTCTGTATGGCAGTGCTGTGCCACAGGTTTGCTCTTACCCACACCTTAACAACTGTTATTACAGTTGCTCTGCACTGATAACCGTCTAGAACATGTTTTTGGTATATTAGGAGAACAATTCCTGCCAATTCACACTTTGAAAATGTCATGAAATAGTAATTGCATTAAGTTAGAGAGCATGGGACTGTGGCAGGAAGGTGCTGTGAGTGCATTCTGTGCTTCAGACCTGAGGGGTCCTCACCTTCTTTCACGGGCTGCGAGGCGTAGTGGGAGGTCATGCTGCAGGGGGAAATGAAATAAGGTCAAAAATGGAAAAAAGAGAGCAGACACTGAGACAAAACCATTATTTAAAGCCCTGCCTTCTCTTTTTGTACCAGAATATGCTTATTAGGCCTTCAGGAAACGTTATATATTCAGGAACTATGTTATGTTCAGAGAAGACAGTGCTGGGGTGGTGTGTGCTGGGGACTGGGGCAAGATGGCAGTCCATTCCCAGCAATGCCTGCTGCCTGTCCTGAGGCGCACAGCACTGCGGGACCCCAACTGTGTAGGAGCAGCAGCAAAAAGGGACCCCCGCTGCATGCTCAGCATCATGGCATGGGCACAGGGAGCACAGAGCTTCACTGCCCCTTCACACATCCCATCGCCTCCCACTGTGCTGCCGAAACCCCACGCACTGGGCGTCCTCGCCCTCCAGCAGCCGGCGGTACGTGGCGATCTCCTGCTCCAGGCGGCTCTTGACGTCCAGCAGCACCCGGTACTCGTGGTTCTGGCGCTCCATGTCGCAGCGCAGCTCGGCCAGCTGCTCCTCCACGCTGGTGATCAGCGCCTGCAGCTGGGCCAGCTGGGTGCCGTAGCGCGCCTCGGTGTCGGCCAGGGTGCCCTCCAGTGCCGCTTTCTGCGTGCGGAGGAGAGGACGGGCTTAGGGGGGTGGCGGGGAAGGGCCCCATCCCCACGCCGGCAGGCAGCGGCCCCGCATACCGTGCTGAGCTGGGACTGCAGGTCGATCTCCAGGCTCTGGATGGTGCGGCGCAGCTCCGTGATCTCCGTCTTGCCGCTCTGCAGCTGCTCCGTGTTGATGGCCACCTCGCGGTTCAGCTCCTCCGTCTGCAAGAAGCCGAGCCGCACGTCACAGCGCGGCGTGGGCGCAGCCGTGGCCGTGCAGCCGCAGGCGTCGAGCTCACCTTGCTGAAGAACCACTGCTCGGCGTCCCTGCGGTTCTTCTCTGCCAGGCTCTCGTACTGCTCCCGCATCTCGGCCAGGATCTTGGTGAGGTCGATGCCGGGAGCCGCGTCCATCTCCACGCTGATCTCTCCTCCCACCTGTCCGCGCAGCGCGTTCATTTCCTGGGCAAAAGGAAATGCGTGACACACACAGCAGCGACAGCCCTGCTTGCGGACGGCCCCGCGCCCCGTGCCTGACCCCCTCTGCCCGGCTGCACCTTACAGCCCCACTGGGTGCCGGCGCTGCGCTCACCTCCTCGTGGTTCTTCTTCAGGTAGGCCAGCTCCTCCTTCAGGTTCTCGATCTGCATCTCCAGGTCGGCCCTGGACAGGGTCAGCTCGTCCAGCACCCTGCGCAGCCCGTTGATGTCGGCCTCCACGCTCAGGCGCAGGGCCTGCTCCGTCTCAAACCTGGCGACACAACAGCAGAGACAAAGGATGCTGAGATCGCATCCGGTCGGGGCAGAACCCCGTGGCTGCTGCTCACATCGTGCCCTGTGCACAGTGTCACGGCTGGCAAAGCAGTGTCACTTGAGCCCTCAACACAGCCTTGCCTTTTCATTACTGGGCCTTAGTGCTGCTCTGGGCTTTGCTGAGCTGCATGGAGGGAAGGTGAAGGCATAGCAGAAGCTCAGTCTCACACAAGCAATAGTGAAGGTATGGAGTGCCGACAGGATTTAGGTAACTGGCTGCTTTGGAAATCACATCTTCATTTTGAAGGCTTTGTTTCCAAGCTGCCTTTCTGGGTCTGGCATGGGAATTTTTTCCCACTTTTCATCAAACACCTCTGCAGACCTTGTTCCCTTTTTCCAGGAGATGTGACTTACTTGGTCCTGAAGTCATCGGCTGTCAGCCTGGCATTGTCGATCTGCAGCAGGAGGTTGGCATTGTCAACGGTGGCCCCCAGGACCTGGAGGAGGGAGGATGAAAAGAAAGCACTGGATGAGCATCAGAACCCAAGGGAGCAATGCACACTGAGGCTGTGGGGACAGGGACAGTTCTGGGGCAGCCTGAGGTTTTCCAAAACCTCTCTGACCTCAGTTTCCAACATTCTATCACTAAGTATTTCAAAAGGCAGCACAGCAGTCATGTCAGATGTGAGATAACAGCACTGGTTCCCATGCCTCAGGGCACAGGGTGGTTATGCAAGGGTCAAGCAGGAATCACCACTCCCACCCCAGCACACAGCAGCTCTACTGACAGGCCGACAGGTCAGCAGGAAGCTCCTGCATGGCAAAATTGGTGCCCTTTGGTCCCGGGATGGATTTGACTTTTTGACTGCAGAAATGGAGGAGACTGCAGAGGACAGGTGCCTAGAGCCTCTGATGTTTGTATTACAAACACAGGAGCAAAGAATGCATGCTGGGAGAAGACTGGAAGCAGAGTTTGGGAGGACATTAGCTCTGGTGCAAAGGAGACAGCGAGGAAAGGGTTTCCCTGCATCCCATGCCAACATCCCTGCATCTCTGCTGCACGCAGCCTTCCCTGGAACAGAGAACAACAGTTTGCAAAGTCTGTGACCAAGTGCTTATAAATACTGCCTTCATGTTTACAAATCTCACATCACTGTTTACAAACGTCATCGCAGTGCTTCGCAGTTTGCAGACACCTACAACTTTCCCAAGTACTGGTTTGAAAGTATCAAAAAAAAAAAGGCACATGATCAAAGCAGACTTGTCCCTAATTCTTCATTGTGCATTATCTCCTTTTACATTGGTTTCTTCCAGTGAAAATTATCTGTATTTGCATCCAGAAGAATGCAATCAGAACCGTATTGAGAAATCTTTGAATTTCCATCCTGACACCACACAGGTTATCTGAGATGCTCTCACCGTTGATGCTCGCTAATGAGAGGCAGCAGTCTGCTAAACAGCTGACTGGGTGTCCCACCGTGTGACCACCGCACCCACCTTGCTGCGCAGCTCCTCGATGGTCCGGTAGTAGGGGCTGTAGTCGCGCTCGGGGCCGGGCCCCTGCTTCTTGTACCACTCCCTGATCTTCACCTCCAGGTCGGTGTTGGCCTCCTCCAGGGCGCGCACCTTGTCCAGGTAGGCGGCCAGGCGGTCGTTGAGGTTCTGCATCGTCTCCTTCTCGCCGGCCGGGAGGATGCCATCGCCGCCCCCGAAGCCGCCTCCAAAGCCGGCCCCGAAGCCGGCCCCATAGCCGGCCCCGAAGCCCCCGCCGAGGCCCCCTCCGACGCTGCCGCAGTAGCCGCCCCCATAGCCGGCGCCGAGCCCCGAGACGATGCGGGAGGAGATGGAGTAGCTGCTGGAGCCGCCGTGGACGCTGGGGGCCCGGTAGCCCGCCGCCCTGCCGCAGGACAGCCTGCTGGAGCCGCCCCCCAGGCTCTTGAGGGAGGTGGAGGAGGAGAACTGCCGGACAGTGGTGCTCATGGTGGGGCAGAGGCCGGGCACGGCGGGCTGGCAGCGCAGGCAGCAGTGCGCGCTTCCCCTGCCCGCAGCCCTTTATAGCCCACGCGGGAGGCGTTGCCGCTGCTTTTCGTCACCCCTGACACTCGCAGCCAAATTCCAGAATCATCACTTTTCTCGCCCCTGTTTCACATCTTTTGTCACTTCCCACCAGCATCGCTGCAGCACACCGGGATCTGCTCTTTCCGCTTTCATTCCCAGCACAGCTGTGATTCAGGACGGAGGCTCCTCGCTCAGGGCTACGTTTTAGCATTTCAGTATTGCACCTGAGACGTGGAGGTGCTCGCTCCAACTCCACCCTGCGCTGCTTCATGAAGCAACAAGTGAATCCCCTGTGACACTGTCCACAAGCACCTGATATCCTTGAAATCTACACATTTCTCTATTTGCTTTTTTAAAGTGCCCGAAGCCAACATAAGCTGCTGACTTAGGAGCTCTGAGCATCCATTATCTTTATGTAGGGCTGAGCCAAAGCCAGATGGAAACCTTCCAGCCAGGACCTCTATCCAGGACAAGCACAGACCTGGCGGTACTTTGTACTGATACTGCATTTGGCAGAACCCTGTAATTCAAAAGAGAAGAAACTGCAGTGGTTTCTGCTGACACAGCGGTGTAGGGTGAATCTCTGAAGAGGTCGGAAAGTCCCCACAGCGATGGGTTTCGGTCACTTACGGTGCAGACGCTCACTGCTTCCCGGTGGCACCTGGGTCACGGCTTCAGACCCGACTGCTTTCCTGCAGCGCCTTTCAGCAGCAGCTGTGGCTTCCGCAATGTTTGTAGAATCAGGAATGCCTGTGTTCCATTCCCTCTGTCTCACTGCTGTGGCAAGGTGCGATGCTCAGGCAGATGAGGTCAGATAAACTGGAACTGCATTAGACACCACTGCCAGGACACATCAGGCACGGTTACCGATGCAAAGAATTCGATCGGCCCTTAGCTGTGCTTGTGCCTCATACGGCTCAGTGTTTTGCTGCGAGGCAGCACTGCTGAACTCATTGGGGCAGCACTGCTGAACTCATCGGGGCAGCGCTGCCCGCATGGGGCATGTGGGGGCACACAGGAGCAGCGCAGCGCAGAGCCCTGCAGCACCAGGAATGGGGGCTGATCAGCACCGCCCGGAGCTGCAGGACGGGGCCACACCTGCAGCAACACAGAGGGACTGGGTGCCGTGGTTGTAGCAATGTGGCTGGACGGGTCTTAGCCTGAAAGGCGGCAGAGAAGAGGGAAGGGAGACACTGCGCTGTTGTATTCTTTGCTTGGAAAAAAACAATCCCTTCAGTGATGCGGCGCCAGGTGTTGCAGTATGCAGTGGAAAATCGCACACCCAAGCTGCTGGCCTGGCTGGCTCCAGAGATGTCATCTGCGGATAAGAGAAGTGATTCTTGCTTTTAGCAGAGGTTCCTGTGAGGCAGTGGCGGAGTTATGGGGATTAGGCAGCTTTTGTACTTCTCTCTGCCGTGATCTCCTTCCTTCCCGGGGCCCCTCTGGCTGTTTTCACATTCTAAAGAACTTAACTGATTTTGGAGCTGCTAAAATGTTCCCAGAGCCTCGCCCTCAGTAATTCGGGGTGCCTCCTTCCTTTCATCTATTCCCTGAAGATCACAACAGCAACAACACCTTGCTGCATCCGTGGTGCACCTCAAGGCCTTCGCAGGGAGTTGCGTAGTCCCACAGCAGCAGAGGGCGGTGAGACGGAGCAGCCTGGCCGGGGTCGGTGCAGGACCCCCAGCTGAAGGCTCCGCTCTGCAGAACAGCCTTGGAGTTCATTTGCTCCAGATCTGTGTTTTGATTCCCCACGCTGCACACTCTGCAAATTGGGATGGCGGTGCCACATCCCTCTCAGAGCCGGGGACGGGGCCTGGCAGCAGCAGAGCGCAGAGGAGCGCACCGCAGCCCAGGCAGATGCGTGGCTCTCACCTGCTGCTGGCTCGCTGCCCTCTGGCACACAGGGGGGTCGGCGTTTCCCAGCAGTGCCGGTGGCACAGCGCCGTGTGGAGCCGCGCTCCTCGGCCACCCCTGCGCTGAGCCGTGCAGCTGTGCTGGCTTTGCTCACACTGCGGCTCCCAGTGAACACTTCGTGCTGGGAGCGATTCCCACATCGGCTCCGAGCCCCGGCGTGGGGTCTGCCCTGCGCCCAGCTCTGCCCGCACACTCATCCCCCAGAGCATCCCAAACCCGAAGGTGACAACCGCCACAAAGAGACAAAACTCTGCCACAGCCCCATGGGCAGAAAGACCCGAATTGGGGGCCTTCGTTCGATACCTTCGGAATACAGAAGTTCAGCCCACCGTAAACCCCGCTGCAGCCCCGGCTGACCCTCCCGGAATCCCCTCGCAGCCGCAGCCCGCAGCGCTGCCCTCCCCAGCTCGCGGTGGAAGAATTCTGCCTCCCAGGCTCTCCTGAGACACCCACGGAAAATTCCCCTGAGATAAAAATACATCGCAACATTCGGGAGACGCCGTCGGCGCCCGTTCCAGCCAGAGGCGCGCCGCAGATGCTATCTGTGCGCAGGTGTGCGGCGTGGGATGGGGCTGAGCTGCAGCCGGGTGCTGAGGGCTGCGGTGAAAGGCTGGGGTCAGCGTGCTGCGCTTGCCTCAGACAATAGCACTTAATTGAGCTTTTAATGTAATGAATGAGAGCTAATTAGGAATCGTTGTGTTTCCCCTATGGGCCAGCTTCTCCTAAGTGCAATTCGCAGCACTTCACAGCTCTGTAGGAAGTGCTGAAGGACGCGGCGCAGGGAGAGCTGCGTGGAAGGGACGGGCTGTGCCCTGCTGGCAGCTCCGCTCCGTAGGGCTGAATAGCACCAGGATGGGTAACAAATACATCAAGGCGTGGAGTGAAATGCGTTGCCTTTCTTTTTATCTCGGCTGCTGATTCTTTATCATCTGCTAGGACATGCCCTGACAGCTCCAATACATTATCTGGAAAAAAGCATTCTTAGGTTTGTTACCATGAAAGGAATCTTTATGGTGTGTGTGCAGTGGAAACTCCCTGCTGGGTAGACCTGGGGCGTCCAGCCGGAGGGCAGGAGCTGGGAGAGGGGCTGGCAATGAGAGATGGGAGGTGGGCGATGGGCAATGAGTGATGCTCGAGGCCACCCAGCTGTTCTCTGCTCCCGGCGTGCTGACAGCAGGATGGAGCGAGTTACAGGCAGCAGTGGGACCAGCAGGGCGAGGAACTGATGGGAGGGGAGCTCACAGGGGTGACTTTAAGGAAGGAAGTCTGTAGCACGAGAGTGGTGAGGCACAGAGAAGTTCTGTGCTGGAGGTGCTCACACCAGGCTGGATGCGGCCCTGGCAGCCTGCTGTGCTCCATTGGTGCCCCTGAAGGCGCTGCGGTGCCGCCCCAGCCCCGCTCAGCTCACACTTAAGGCAGCAGCCGCGCACTGAGCGTCCCAAGGCCGGGGATTCCCTGGTGCAGAGCCCAGAGCTCCTCCTGGGAATTCCTTCGTGCTGCAGTCAGGGGCACGGCCAGGGCTTGGCAAGGGAAAGGCAGGACGACAAAACAGAGCTTGTGTTGCCCCAGACAAGAGGATGCTCTTTGTGTCTGAGAAGAGCCAAACTCTCAGGCTATCACAAAGTGTTTCAGCTCTATCTCCACAGCAACCCCCAACCTTCGCAGTTCCCCACATTATTTTTTCAGCATCTGTCTTCCAGGTAGCGAGAAGCTCTTGCATTTCCTCACCCTCGTACTGGCAGTGTGCAAACGCGATCACACCCCGTCTGTTCACCCCTCACCCCGGCACGCAGCACGGAGTTGCGCGCATTCTTTCCAATGCTGACCGCGGGCAGAGCGCGACCGCTCTCACTCTTTGCCCACAGCGCTGCGCTCGGGCGGCTGTGAATCCCGAGCTGCGGGCACTGCGTTCCCGGGGCTCTCGCCAGGGGAGCCCCGATCCTGGGTGGGCACTGGCTGTGATCCCGGCCCCTTGGAGGCCGTGCGCCGAGCCGCCAGCCCAGCCCCGCTGCCGCTGGGTGCCGACGGTCCCCCCTGTCAACGGGCTCTGGGTTGCCTCCAGCTCGCCGGCTCAGCGCACGCCTCGCAGCCCTTAATGGTTTTCTGTGCGGCGTTCAAAGCGCAGGGCCGCGGGCGGCTGTCTGGCACAGGGCTGGGATCTGCCCGGGCCCGGCGCCGTGCTTGGCACTGAGCTCCTCTCGCCTGGAGCGCGGCCGATCCTCCCGATAAGCAACAGTAATTATCAGTCTCTTCTTCGCATCAGCTCTTTCCCCTGTTGTTGTTGTTTGTTTGTTTGTTTCATGATCATTTATTTGATTTTTTTAAAATCCAAATAACTGCGCTCAACCACTGCAGGGAAGCGAACCATCGGGGGAGCCCCTCAGCCCGGCACCCCCAGCCGCGTGCTGCCGGTCCGACGCTCCCTGAGAGCTCCCGGCGGCGGTGGCGGCGGTGTCCCCGGGCCGGGGGGGCACAAGGAGCGGGGAAAGATGCGCTGCGGCTCCGGGACGCGCTGGGACGGGGTCGGGCCTTCCCGCAGGGACCCACTGGGATCCGCTGGGACCCGATAGACCCGCAGGGACCCCTGAGCCCAACGGGGACGCGCTGATGAGCGCTCCCGAACCCCGCGGGGATGCGCCGGGCGCTGCCGGAGGCACAAACGCTGCCCACGGGCGCCCTCCGCTGGTGGCGGAGCGGGACGGGAACGGGGCGGAGTGCAGCGGGGCGGGGCGGCGGCGGGGAGCGGCGCGGGGGGGTCGGGGGTGCAGCGGCGTGCGCTGGGACACACGGGGTGCTCTGGAGCTCACCGGGCTGCGGAGCGGACAGGGCTGTGCGGGGGTACTGCAGTGCGGACAGCCGTTCCCTGCCTGCGGCCCGCACGCAGCTCGGTGCTGCTCCAGGTCGGGCTCAGCGTCCCGGAGCGGGGGCTGCGCTGAGCCCTTCTCGGGCGGAGAGGGGAGGGGACGTGCGAGCGGTGCACACGTATGTGCAAGAATGTGCACGCATGTCTGCGGGCAGCTCTGAGTCGGTTCTGTAGCTGCGCCTCTGCTCTGCCACAGCCCACGACCCGCCCCAGCCCTTCCCTCTGGGATGCCCCCCGTGCTGACGCCGGCTGTTCTCCCTGCCAGGCCCGAGGCCGCCCGGCCCACCGCCGCGCAGCCCCCGTGGTGGGCCGAACACCGGCCGCAGTGCAGCGCTGAGCGGCATTTCGGCACCTGCTGGCTCAGGACTGTCCGAAACACGGCCGCGTGACACCGTCTGTGGCTGTGTCTGCAGAGCGGGCTGGGAGAGGGCTGCTTGGGGGTGCTGGAGGGATGCCAGGGTCACATCACAGCGCGGCCCCTGCGCGGCCCGAGCCATCCGCAGAGCCGGGGAGCGGCGTTCCCTGTGCCTGGTGACATCCCCGTGCGGGACAGAGCCGGGCTCGGCGCCCGAGGTGCGGGCAGCACGGGGAACTCGGCCCCACGGGGTGAGCGGCTGTGGGACACGGGGCTCCACAGTGCAGCGGGGTGCAGCCCCGGCATTCTGCCGTTCCCATTCATGCCGCGTGTCCCCACCTGCCCCGCGGCCGTGAGTCATCGCGCCGCGTTCCTGGGGCAGGAGGGGACGGGTCGGTGCGTCACCCGCTCGCTCCCACGCCCGCGGCTGGGGCTCGGCTCCACGCTGCAACTCGCCCGGCGGTAATTACAGAGGACTTCAGAGGGTTTGCATTCTTCCCGGCCCACGCCTGGGAAACAGCTTTCACCATCAGCCAGAGCCTGAGAAACAGCTCTCCACCCGCACTGCTGTGCCCGGGGAACTCGGTGGGCAGATGGACCCCATTGGCCCCGGTTCGGGCTCACCTGCACTGCGGGCAGAACCAGCAGAACCAGCCCTGTGCTGCTGCCTGGGGGTCCCACAGCTCTGGGGGTCTCGTGCCTGCCCTGTCCCTGTGCGGTACCAAGCAGGTCCATTCACCGGCACAGCTGGGCTCTGAGCAGCCAAACCCACGGCTCACAACGCGTTGGTTTCAGTGACACAGAGCTGGGGGCTTCACACTGGTGTCCCCAGGAGATCGGAGCATCACAAGCAGCTGTGTTGAGCCAAGGAGGTCCTTCAGCCCTTGCCCTGTTTGGCACGGGTTGGCTCCACAGTGGCTGCCCTGTGCCCAGGCCTGTGGTTGGAAGAGGGAGAGGTGGGATGTGCTGAGGGGTCAGAAACCAGCAGGGTGTCAGCATTCCCCCCACTGTACACAGGCCAGGACTCACTGAGCACCACCAGACGTGTGCCAGCCCTCCTGGTGCTAAGCCAGCAGAGAAGGCTCTGCATCTCTCCTGTCCCCTGAGCTCACCATATCCCTGTGACCCTGGGGACCCGTGGGCAGCCCTGGCTCGGCTTCATTGCACGGCTCCACTGACCTCCAGCCACCGCCATGCTTCCCACCCTGTGCTGGGGACACGGTGCTGGGGTCACCATGCGACTGCCATCCTGACCAGCATGTGCCGCAGCACTGAGCAACACCAAAAGCTGCTGCAGGAATGTGAGCTTCGCTGCAGTGAGGCCTCGCACCCAGCAGCAGTCCCAGGCTCATCTGTGAGCCAGGCCGGCACAGCATGTGGCACAGCCCGGCAGCAAGCCACCCGCTGCGGCCCAGGGCAGGAGCTGGGCACTGTGCACCCGCAGCCATGGCACAGAGCACAGCCGTCGTGCCCACACCATGGCCGTGCCGCAGCCACGCACGGTACGCGGTTCCCACACCCGGTGCTGCTCCACACTCAGACCACAGCTCCGTGCCCGCATCCCTCCCCACCTCTTCTGACGTGACGGGGACCCCAGGTGGCATTCAGAACATCCGCGGGGGCTTTGCAGGGTGCAAGGGGGGACCACCTTGGCCTCCAGCCTCTCCCGGGAGCTGCTGGGAACGTGGCACCAGC